ACTAATTATTGGAGGGAACAGGGTCTCTGGGAGAATACAGTTGCATTTGGAATATTTCTTCTAAAATGGAAATCTAATCCAATATTGAAATATCTGTTTGTTGGATAATTTAACAAGCTTAGTGTTTCCTTCATATTCAGTATGGACTTTTTTTGTATATATTATTATAAATGTGAGTTAATTATTTAATTTGGGTTATCGAACTTAGACTGCCAGTGAGGAGAAATTATTATATTTGTTCCCAAAATAATATATCTTGCCATTGATTTTTATTCTCTCTCAGAGCAGCTTAATTTTTAAAGTTTCCACAATGGCATCTGCTTATGCCAACTAAAATTCTGATTACTATTTGATTTAACCTGAAATTATATAGCTTCATAATTAAATAATATCCTTGGAGTTTGTGTATCCTAAGAAGAAAGACCATTGCATGGGCATTGAAATAAACAAACTGGAAAAAGAGATGGGATTAAGAATGGTTGTGGAAAAAATAAAAGTATATAATCAAGTACATTTACTTAAATTAAATTTATTATTCACATCTATGCTGATTCATTTCAACTAAATCAATTCACTAAAGTGTCTCTTACCGGTCCACTGAGGATTAGCTATTGTCAGACACACAACAGTCCAATGAGATAGGTGACATTACTATCCTCATTTTTTAGGTAAGAGAATGGAGGCAAAATTCAAAGAAATTAAATATCGCCAGCCTGGATCTCTCTTCCCATGAACTTCAGGCTCATGGAAACTAAATAAATCCACACTGAACATCCTCACTTAGCTATTTAGAAATCTTCTCAAATTTCATATATCACAACTGAGCTCTAGATTGTCCTGTATAAAATATGCTCGCTCTGCTGTAGTGTTCCTCCTCTTAATTAGTGAAAATTCTGTTCTATACATTGGCTGAAACTTTGGAGTAATCCTTGACTTCCTTGCTTTACAACCTTTATTAACTTCATTAAAGAATCCTGCTAGTTCCACCTCCAGAATCCAACGTTTCTTCTCACTTCCACTCACTCTACCTTGATATGACCACTATCACGTATTCCCTATGTTACATCTACAATCTCCTCTGTGATCTCTATGTTTTCACTTTTGCCTCATTTAGTATATCGCAATACAACAGTTAGAGTGAATTTTTTAAATAAAAACTTAAATAAGATCAAGTCACTCCTCTGCCTTAAACACAGATACATGCACGCCTGCACACACGCTCACACTCGCACTCATACAAACACACACACACTGCTCCAGTGGTTTCCCATTCGAAGTAAAAGCCAATGTCATTACTGTAGCTTGAAGGTCCTGTAAACACTGGCCCTTGCTTGTTTGTCTGACTTCATTTTCTATTTTTTTGCTCTCTCTGCTCTGGTCTCACTACTCCCCTTCCTTTAAAAAAAAAAAATAAGCCCCAGGCTTTCAACTGCTGTTCTCAGTTCTTGGAATAACCTTTCCTGGGATATCAGCATTGCTCTTTTGCTTACATTCTTCCAGTCTTTTCTCAAATGTCAACTTCTTGGTGAAGCCTTCCCTGAGCACCCTATAAAAATACCTCCTCCTTACTCCTATACTTCTCAAAGTCCTTTGTTTGTTTTGTATGTTTATCACCACCTTAGATACTTTATATTTTCACTTACATATTTATTTTTAATGTTCACTTACGTATTTACGTTGTATTTATCTATCTTCTCCCACTAGAATGCAGGTTCTGAGAGAGCAGGGAAGTTTGTCTGTTTGCTTCCCATTGCCTATCACATGGTAAACACTTAATAAACATTTGATTGAATAGATTAATGAATGCATAAATTTGCACAAAGATCAAAGCTAGTATGTGGCAGAGCTGGAGAAAGAGCCCTTTCTCTGAAAAAGGTATTAAGAATGGAGGAAAAGAGAGAACATGCTGTAAGGACATGATTTAAAAAACAAAAAATAGGTCAATGGGTAGAGATCTGCCTTCCTTGTTCAGAATTGGTCAGTGTCTAGGCTTTGAAGGGTATTCTTTGGTTTACTTTGTGAATGGAATAGAATATTTGGATTCAGCTATGCCTGCTTAGGAGAGACTTTATACAGGGAAAAGAACACTCCTTAAAATGTGAATAGGTTTTTGCAAAGCATTTGGGATAGAGACTGACATTTTTCACCATTCCCAATTCCTCTTACTGAATAGAGAAAAGATTAGTTTCCCACCCCAGTCATTAGTTTGACGCTGTGTGTTGGAGTTCTTGTCAATGAAGTATGAGAAGTGACTTGGGCCACTCGCCATTAGAACCTCCCAATGTTCACTCATGTTCTGTCTTCCTCTCACTCAGAAACC